GTGACCTTAAAACACATTTTTGGCCATAACTCAAGAATTCATATGCTAAATTATGACATTTTGCCAGGCGTCATCTTTTCAGAGGAGGTGACAAAGTAGAATCTTTTGCTTCCAAGCCTCAACCTCAAAACAAAAAGAAACAATTGTGATGCATGAATTTGGCCTATTGTTGCTTATGCCTGATATGAGCTCTTTATAGACTTGCATGTCTGGTCATTCAAAACATTTTGTCTCCCTCTTAGGCATAAACCTGTCATATTTAACTCATGAATATAGCTTGTTACTTTGATCTTATGGACATTTCTAATCCCCAGGCAGTAAAAATGTTTCCACATGACATTTGCATCCATTTCAGAATGAGTATTGACCCTCCTCAAGGTATAAAAATACTTGAGTGGTGATTGCTTTTTCTGTTCTAGAGTTGAGGACAATGGGCAGGCATTATGTAAGCTGCCAGGATTAAGTTGGCTCTTCAATCCCTCTTCACCCCAAAGACAGGTGCTGTCTTAGCTGTAAGCACAGCTGCTGCTGGCTGAAGCCTCTGATGGGACATGGGGCAAGATAAAGATGGGCATACACTGACCAAGTGCAGCTGTTAGCTGTGTGAGACTGGAAGTGTTCCAGTGACTGTGTGCACATAACTTAGCACGGTCATGCTGAAGTGCTGGACCCTGCCAAGCCCTGAGTTAGGCTAGTGTGGCCACTGGGCTGTGAAGAGCCAAGCAGGGAGGTACAGACGTCTGCGTGTTGAAAGAGGAGGTGGAAGGGTGACTTCTAAACGGCTGAGCTATTTCAGGCTAAAACACTCAGAGGCAGCAGAGGCATGTCCATCAGCATACACCACCGCCAAATCCCCATAGAGATCCACAAACAGGGCAGCTATCAGTGGTATATACGGCAACATTGAAGTCAGCCTTTGCACTACCAAGAAGCTGCGCTTGAGTGCGTGAGGGCACTGAGCTGGTGAGTTTCTGCCAATTCAAGTTTAAAATAAGGCTGCAGTTTTATTGCTTGTATTGGCCACCTGTTGATACACCATTCTCTTTAAAGTAAACAATTTGTCCTGGGTTGACCACTTGAGTGTTTTCTCTATGTCTAGGAATATGGCCTAGCAGACTTGTTTTAGACGTGAAGGGAGAGAAGAATAACAGGAAGCTGGAGGGAGAATTTCCGAGTTGTGTTAACACTTGACATAAAAGCTAGAAAAACTGAAGGCGGGATTTTACTGTGTAAAAATTCTCGTTAAATGTCACTTTTATCCTTTTATTTCTTTCACCATTTAAAATGTGTTTTGAAATGTGCATGAGATGATTTGGACGTAGCACAAATTGTTTAAATTTCACCACATTTAGCCAAAACAACTCTCTCAATAAGTTGATGTCAAAGCAAGATTGAGAACAATGTGTCTATTCTGTGGCTGTGTTGGGAAATAAGCATATCGTCTGTTGGTTAAGGTGGTTGAGAAAAAGTTGTCAATCGACCTTGTGGCCATGAAGTCACGGCTCTTAATATGGTTGACCACAGTGGATAATGCTATTATTAGCACACTGCTTGGATTGAGGAAAGCCCCAGACTTTGAAGTGGACTTCAATTTTAGCTGCTTGTGGCTTTGACTGTGTTTTTTTCCCCCCGCAAGACATGCATGTGACTCCACAGTGATCCCTCATCCCTGGGGACAAACAATTATATCTCACACACTTACGTGCACCCACACACACAGGTTCCTCCTGAGGTTGGGTATTTCTTTAGCCTCAAGGCTCGTATAAGCTGATGTGGAATGCAGCGCTTGATTATTTGGCGAACGGGTAAGCAACTTGTTTAGATCACAGGACTGTTCTTTGTTCGCTGCAAAACACAATTAATCTGGCAGCTTTTATGACTTTAGGCGGGATTAATTGTGTAATAGTGTTGATTCCTCCACAACATGACAAGTTTTTTTTTCCATTGCCAAATACACTAAGAGCCTGTGGCATGCCCAGGCGAATTTGAAGGAAAATTTACACTGAATCTGATATATTTTACCGGTACACACAGATAGTCTAGGTGGGAAATGATTAAACCTAATGGACATATTTAAAATGCAGTGTGGAAATTTCCGCATCCACAATTATATCAAAAGTCATTACAAGTTAATAATTATTATTAAATAAAATAATAAAGTCATATTAAGGAAACATGTCATTGCTTTCCCACTCATTTTATGCACATTAACAAAAGCATAAACATCCTGTGCAAATGTGTAAACATGCCCCAAAGCATGCAGTTTTAAAGTTGATGTGTGCTAGTTGTATTTCAATCTGAAGATGTACACAGTGCCAGGAATCATCTGCATCGCTTATTTCAGAATATCGATTTCACCATGTTACAGATGCTCAGAGGCTTCCTGGCAAAGTCGCAATGCCCTTCACTGGGAGTCGAGTGGCCCAATGTTCTAAAGAAAGCCAGTACACAGTGACTCACCCTCTGTCTTGCAGTCTGTATTATTTGGAATAAGAGATGTCATTTATTTTCTTGTATGCGGTTGTAAACAGTCTTTTGTGGCGCTCCCTTGCATGTCACCCTTGAATTTTTAACGTCAAAAGCCTTTTCTTTACCAGCTGGTCACCTATTTTCTGTGTGTCGCAACATCTATTTATGTCACTCTTGTAGATTGCGGAAGAGACTGTAATCGACCTTTTTCGAGTAGATGTTTCCACATCACTGTATGTAATCCTTGTGATTAAAGGACCACACAATGTATTAGCACACTTTGGCCCATTATTACTGCCAACCAATTTCCAATGCACCTTTTTTAATGATATTTGGATGTGTTTTTAGCCATGCTTGCTGTGTGCCTCTCTGGATGGCAATGTCAGTCAACTTCTTTGGTCCAGAATGAAATATAGCAATAACTGCCATGAAATTTCATACAGACATTCATAGTTCCCTGACAATATATCCTAACATTCGACCCCTCTTCTAGCGCAGTTGTGAGGCGGTTGACACTGATTTTGAATGAAATATCACAGCAACTATTGCCATGAAATTTGTGCGCAGATTTAGGGTCCCTTTAGGATGAATTCTGATAACTTTGTTGATCCCTTAAGTTTCCAGATAGCACCACCATCAGGTCAGAATTGTTTGTCTTTTGTCTACAACGAAACACCTGAAGAACAAATTTTGTGTGACGCTTACATGAATGGGTATAAAAATGATTTGATCTTGCGGCTCTTCTAGGCTTTAGACAAATCAGACCAAATAGATTAAATCCCGATAGTGAAACAAGTAATTTCGAGGGGTTGTGAAGCTAAAAAAAAAAATGTATCCACCGATTTATAGATGTCTCTTCCACAATGTAAGTCAATGAGAAGAAAGATTTTTTTGGGCCCCATGGCATCATGTGATGGACTAGGACATGTGCTAAGCTAAGATGGTTAACATGGCAAACATTATCCCTGCGAAACATCAGCATGTTAGCCTTGTCATTGTGCATATGTTAGTATACTGACATTAGCATTTAGCTAGATGCATTTTGTTACACAGGGCTTAAGTCAGTCTGAATGCGGCCTAGATAAACGTGCGGTGCTAACGTAAATGCTAATGTCACAATGCTAACATGCTCTTAATTATATGGCTAAAGTCACAGACACATCAAACCGTCATTAAAGAACTAGTGGCAACGAAAGCAGACTGTTGTGTGGCTTCATGTTCGCTGTGTCTCAGCCAAAAAAGTTGCACATGAACACGCGCAAGGACTACAGCTGAAGTCTAACCAGCATCTACATTCTGAGAGGAAATAACTCTCCATACCAACAGGTGGTGGTGGTCTGCATTAGTCTGCAAAAAGGGAAACTGGAAGACTGTCATGATGCTAGTTAGCCAGTTAGCACATTAACAACACAATCCAATGCTGAAAGAGCAAAGCGTATTTATAGTGCGCTAGCAAACAATAACACAAACAATTATGGGCTGATGAGCTCAATGGCTAAAAAAATAATGTTACATAATATAACAAGTTTGTTTTGATCCCACTCCCTCTTGACTTCAGTTGTTTGTTTACTTTACTCACTTCCGTTTCTCTTCTCTTGCACTGAGCTGAACTGCTGATCAGAGTGATTTCTGTCATTGAAGGGCGCCGCCCACTCTGACACTGATTCAACATGCTGAATCAGCCCAAAACTAAGCTGGCAGGGGCCAGTGTGGACCAATGGTGTCGGACACACCGTATAGACTATGTTTACAGGCGGCCACTGAGAGCCCAACACTGACTGATGAGCGACCATCGCCTGCGTGTCAGCGTCCTAACATGCTGATGTTTAGCATGCTTAATGTTTATCATGTTTCCCATATTAGTTTAGCATGTTAGCATGCTAATACAGTGTCACAGCATGTAGACTTCTAGTCTGCTGTTGTAATTGGGTGGTAGAATCAGTGGTTCCCAACCCCGGGTTGGGACCTCCACAAGTGGTCACACGATAACAGGTTTCTGTTGAACCAACTTATGTTCATTTGTGTTAAACTCGCCTCTAACCATTGCTTCTTAGAGAATTACTGTAAAAATTGCACTTCAGTCAGGACTGTAAAATGTACTCAGATAAAGTGAGGAGAATCACTCTTTAGTTGAACTGGTGACAGTCAGTGACGAAGAGTTGCAAGTAGACATTTCTTTGTTTTAAGTGATCACAAGCCAAACAGGTGGGGAATGACTGGTCGAGAACATGCACATCTATTGTTATGGTTTGTTAAAGAAGATATTGATCATTGGGGTTGAATTTCCCCTTAAAGCTTGAGGCCGTGTGTGTGTGTGTGTGTGTGTGTGTGTGTGTGTGTGTGTGTGTGTGTGTGTGTGTGTGTGTGTGTGTGTGTGTGTGTGACAGACAGACATATAGATTTGTGTGTCTGAGCAGCAGCCTCTGACTCAGTGTTGAATAGGTTCTGGAGTCACATGGCTACTTGTCAGCAGGCTACAGGAGGAAACATAATCCTGAGGAGGAAGGCTGCTGCTATCAGTCCGTGCATGCCGGTCTGAGAGAGAGCACTCGGCACGACGAGAGGCCGAACCACACATGATTGGCTCCACATCTCTAACTCTCTTCTCTTTTGTCTCCCTATCTCTCTTTTCCCCCTCTGTTTGTTTTTGCCCTGCACTCTGACCAGCCCCGGGTCTCTCTTCACAGCAGAGTTCAGAATTGCACTACAATGTCTGCGGTGGCTTCTCTGCTGTGAGCACACAAAGGTACAGTACAGTCATAGATATCTTTTTGTATTCATTGACCAGGTGTCTCATTTGTACTGCTTGTTGTTTTTCCATTTAATTTACTGTCTGTTTAATTCATTGTTTATATGGGTCATTCCTCGATTAGGTGACCACAGCTATTGTTTGTCATGTCTAATCAAACTTAACAAGATTCTTCCTGTCAGGGTCTGAGGCTTTAACAACCATAGTGCGAATAAGCAAATCCTGCTTAGTTCCACAGGTTACACAGGAGAGAAAAAATGCCTCAAACAAGCCACTTTGAGCCCACTTTAGTTTTAGCAGCACAGACATGCTTTTCCACTCTTATAAATCCTAAATTAGAGCATATAAAAGCCATGATTTTCAAAGTGATGGCCCTCTAAATGCTGTGGTTAAATCAGAATTGACCATTTAGAGCCACAAAAAACAGACCTTATTTTCTGAAGTTTTTGTCTTCTTCTTTAAGGACTGTCTGTTTGACCCATTTCTCTTTATCATGCATGTTTTTCTGCATCAGACCTTGCATGCGTCTCAAACAGGCGATAATGCTGCTAATTCTGAGAATGCATGGCAGCGTTCAGAATGTTACAGTGAGTGTTAGATAAAACATTAAGGCCACAAATTATCTTCATGTCACTTGGAGCTATCTCAACAACACAATCAGTGTCTCAGGAGGAAAAAAGTCTTTAAACATGCATTGTCTGCTAAAAGGAAGCTGATGAATCACACAATGTCTTGTTTTCTGTAAGCCCAGTTCTCTAATGAAACCTTAAACCGCTCCTTCCCTCCCTGTCATTGTCCTGCCTTTATAAGTACAGGCCTGTGTGTCGGTTGAGGTTTGGACATTGTGATCAAGTGGCTATTTCTGCACAGGCATTTTTATTGGCACTTTGTGCATTTTATTGAACTGTTCTTTAATTATGCCCTTTTTGATAGAATTTGTAGATGCAGTCTGTGGTCGACGCTCACGTGCCAAGCTGCCCTGAGTGAAGCTGGGCCCGGTCGGGTGTCTCGGCAGATCACTGGTTTAAGACCGTGTTGTGGGCTCGTGTCGTGAGTTCGAGTCTAGCTCGTAACCTCTGTCCCGTCGTCTGACTGTCCCGCTCCTTGCCCTTTAATGTCGTTATGAGGAGGCAAAGAATTTTTAACCTTTTTGTTTATCTTTAACCCAAAAGGTTGCATGAGATTACAGTGAAAGATGTGGAAGGGCAAAATTGGCATTTATGAAATACAGATTTTGGCCGTTTTTGAGATGGGTGGTGTGCTGACTCATCACTTTTTTAGGCTCCTAATGCAGAGCTGTCCTCTGACTGTATGAGTGGGCCTGAATTATTTAACTTGCCAGTGTTACTGTCTTTAAGAAAAGCCCTGTAGAGTATCTAAAACAATTCCTTAATGGACTGAATCACCTCCTAAATGATCATTTGTATGTCAGTTACTTACTCCATGTTATGTGAGGAAATTCTTGATGAATTCAAGTCATAGGTGTCCAAATTTAACAGCAGCAAAACTATATGAAAATATCCCTTTACAAACTCTCACACATCTCGTGCGGTGTAATCCAAGATTAATTTATCCAGTCATATGCTCAGTACTTCCCATAAAGATATATTTTTGCTAAAACCTGAGTGTTAAAACAATCTGCATAAACGACACAGGCGCACTCCATCGGTGCCCAAGACTGTTTGTGCAGAATTGTTTTAAATATTACAAAAATGCATGTGTTTGGGGAGTACTGTGCATATGACTGGATAAATTAGACTTGTATTACACTGCATGAGTTGTGTGAGATTTTTGTAAACAAAAATTTTGATATAGTATTGCTGCTGTTAAACATGGACTTCCTATGACTACAATTAATCAAAAATGTTCACTTATTGTGGATTCTTTATTTACCCTTAAGGCAAGCAAGACAAACAAAGTTTTCCGTCGTAATTCACCACAACATGGGGTAAGTAATTGATCTACAAATGATCATTTGGGGGTGAAGTATTCCCTCAGACTTCTCAGATTTTGAAAGAAAGACATTGTTAACATCTGACTTTTGTTCCTCACTTTTTCTCCTCCTTTTCCCTAAAAGCTTTCTCAGATATATTTCAGATATATTTCAAACCAGACCGGTTTCAGATCAGTCAATGGAAATGTTCCTTCCTCAGAATAATTGCAATGTTAATGCAACTGTAAATGGCGTGTTAGTCATCAGCTGTCAAGTCAAATAGGAAGTGTGATAAATTTGGACCTAGATATAGAGGAGCTTTTATTCTCTTATGGTCATCCTTTAAAAGAGTTAAAGGGACAGTTCACCCCAAAATCAGAAAACTAATATTTTTCCTCTTACATGTAGTGCTGATGATAGCTCTAGATTGTTTTGGTGTGAGTTGCCAAGAGTTGGAGATATCAGCCGTAGAGATGTCTGCCTTCTCTCCAGTATAATGAAACTAGATGGCACTTGACCTGTGTTGCTCAAAGCACCAAAAAACAAATTTAAAAAAAATCAAAAACAATGTCCCTTTCCAGGAATCATGACCCACTTATTCAAGATAATCCCCAGACCTTGTTGTAAACAGTTTCATCTCACAGAAGGAAGCACGGACCCACTGCTATCTCAAATACTGAAACTGAGCTAGTGAACGTTACAGCTTGGCGAAGCAGTGTGGAGGTCATCTTTTTTTAAGTTGCCTTTATTCAATAGAACAGATTTAAGCATGAAAGGGGGAAAGAGAGAGGGGATGTTATACCCCTCTTATATTTTGAAGAAGGCAGACATCTCTACAGCCGATATCTCCAGCACTTGGCAACTCACACCAAAACAACCTCGACTGATAAACAGCGCTACAGGTAATATGTATTTTTGATTTTACTAAGATTGAATAACTAAAATCTGTGAGATCTCAGCCGTATATGTTAGATACATTTGTAATTTACACAGACGCTACAGTGTAGTTGATTTTTTACTTTCTGTAGATGAGTTTTCTCGGTCAAAGGTAGCATCTCCACACATGTGACCTGATTGTATATTGTGCTCTCTGTAGGAGGGATGGATGGAGAAAAAAATGGCAGCTTATTGTACTGTGACAAGTTAAGTTAAACTTTAATGCCACAGGGTAGACATTGAGACATTTTGTATTAACTCGGCTTTCCTTTAAAATATAGGTCGTGTTTAAGCATGCACATGGATTCTTGTTAACTATTTCTGAAGTTATGTACACTAAAAAGACTCCCAAAGTGCCCTGCTTCTGTTTTGTTTTTGTTTTTTTGATACGTTTACAGCTCCTCCTCACCACCTTCCTGTTTTCATACTTACTTCCTCCCAGAAGGATAGTTTTCCCAAAGCCTTGCCTGCACAGGCAAAATATGATGAGGCTGTGAATAAATCTTGCATGGAGAAGTGGAAAAAATTAAGATTCCACACTCATCGTCTTCTTGTAGGAACAGTTTGGGAGGTACTGTGCCTCTGGATCACTCTGGGAAGACATGAGGAACTTCTTCCAGGGAAACATAGAGCGTCTTGTCCTCACTTCCTCTTGCACTGTCAGCATTCATCCGTGTCCTTTTTGTCATTTCGGTTATTACATAAGGGACAGCCAGTTCCTTTTTACTCACTCCTCTGACTGAATGTACCTGACTACAGACAAGAACACTTTGATAATTGAGGACTGGCTTTTTTTTTTTTTAAATCTGCTTGCTTACCAAGACAATTGTATTATTGTTTTCTTCTTCTGATCATTACTGTTATCTGTAATATTACAGCCATGCCCTGAGGTAGATTAGCCGGTTCCCATGCTTTTTGCTCAGGATCCCAGGGTTCTGTAACTTTATCCCTGTGTAGCCAGCCCTGCCTCGTCCACAGTGGTGGGGTCTAGGTTTACTGAGAAAGTAATCTTCAAACACACCCAGGCCATCTCCAAAAGGCGCCTTTATCACCACTACTGCACGGTTTACAGCTTCTCAAACTGGTTAAAGTTGTTATTTTGAAAATAGAACAGCTTCTTGAATGAAATTAACATTTGGCACAGTGATTACCATTTTGGCAGGGCAAACAAAGAGCGTTGCCAAAATGTGTAGTCTGCTCAGTGTCTCAGTTTCTTTGGCAGGTGATGTCTTTGTTCGATCCACATTCAAAAACAAGTTCACACTGTCCAGCTCCTAAATACTTCTGCACTGCATTTAATCTCTCATCACTGATTGTGCTGTAGTGAAATAAACCTCTCAGAAATCCCTTGCCATCAACAAGGTCATTGATATGATTGTAGTCAGGGAGCAGGGAGGCTTATCGTGTCTTTGATAGCTGCTGTCAGAGAGCCAGAATGTGATTTTTTTTCTAGCTGTGACACTGAAGAGTGAACCAAAAGAGGGCCCTTCTCTGCTTTTAGACTGAAGGAACATTGCTGTTCTGTTCACAATGAGGAGATTTCCAAAAAGTCTAGGCTGATGAGGACTAACTGGGTGGCTAGTATATTTAACTGTAAAACATTTTTGTTGTTTGCAGCAATTAATTTAGGTATGTCACGTTTAGCAACACATCTTCAGTGTCATTTTGACCATACCAGTGTGTAGGCTCTTACAAACTAATGCAAATGTGGATTGATCTTTGCAGCTTAACAGTAAAGCTTGATTATGTCAAGAACAAGGACTGCATGTAACTTATGTTCTTTATTAATAATAGGATTTCCCTGTCAGTCTGTACAATATACAGTACAGGCCAAAAGTTTGGACACACCTTCTCATTCAATGCGTTTTCTTTATTTTCATGACTATTTACATTGTAGATTCTCACTGAAGGCATCAAAACTATGAATGAACACATGTGGAGTTATGTACTTAACAAAAAAAGGTGAAATAACTGAAAACATGTTTTATATTCTAGTTTCTTCAAAATAGCCACCCTTTGCTCTGATTACTGCTTTGCACACTCTTGGCATTCTCTCCATGAGCTTCAAGAGGTAGTCACCTGAAATGGTTTTCCAACAGTCTTGAAGGAGTTCCCAGAGGTGTTTAGCACTTGTTGGCCCCTTTGCCTTCACTCTGCAGTCCAGCTCACCCCAAACCATCTCGATTGGGTTCAGGTCCGGTGACTGTGGAGGCCAGGTCATCTGCCGCAGCACTCCATCACTCTCCTTCTTGGTCAAATAGCCCTTACACAGCCTGGAGGTGTGTTTGGGGTCATTGTCCTGTTGAAAAATAAATGATCGTCCAACTAAACGCAAACCGGATGGGATGGCATGTCGCTGCAGGATGCTGTGGTAGCCATGCTGGTTCAGTGTGCCTTCAATTTTGAATAAATCCCCAACAGTGTCACCAGCAAAACACCCCCACACCATCACACCTCCTCCTCCATGCTTCACAGTGGGAACCAGGCATGTGGAATCCATCCGTTCACCTTTTCTGCATCTCACAAAGACACGGCGGTTGGAACCAAAGATCTCAAATTTGGACTCATCAGACCAAAGCACAGATTTCCACTGGTCTAATGTCCATTCCTTGTGTTTCTTGGCCCAAACAAATCTCTTCTGCTTGTTGCCTCTCCTTAGCAGTGGTTTCCTAGCAGCTATTTGACCATGAAGGCCTGATTGGCGCAGTCTCCTCTTAACAGTTGTTCTAGAGATGGGTCTGCTGCTAGAACTCTGTGTGGCATTCATCTGGTCTCTGATCTGAGCTGCTGTTAACTTGCCATTTCTGAGGCTGGTGACTCGGATGAACTTATCCTCAGAAGCAGAGGTGACTCTTGGTCTTCCTTTCCTGGGTCGGTCCTCATGTGTGCCAGTTTCGTTGTAGCGCTTGATGGTTTTTGCGACTCCACTTGGGGACACATTTAAAGTTTTTGCAATTTTCCGGACTGACTGACCTTCATTTCTTAAAGTAATGATGGCCACTCGTTTTTCTTTAGTTAGCTGATTGGTTCTTGCCATAATATGAATTTTAACAGTTGTCCAATAGGGCTGTCGGCTGTGTATTAACCTGACTTCTGCACAACACAACTGATGGTCCCAACCCCATTGATAAAGCAAGAAATTCCACTAATTAACCCTGATAAGGCACACCTGTGAAGTGGAAAGCATTTCAGGTGACTACCTCTTGAAGCTCATCGAGAGAATGCCAAGAGTGTGCAAAGCAGTAATCAGAGCAAAGGGTGGCTATTTTGAAGAAACTAGAATATAAAACATGTTTTCAGTTATTTCACCTTTTTTTGTTAAGTACATAACTCCACATGTGTTCATTCATAGTTTTGATGCCTTCAGTGAGAATCTACAATGTAAATAGTCATGAAAATAAAGAAAACGCATTGAATGAGAAGGTGTGTCCAAACTTTTGGTCTGTACTGTATCTATAAAATTTAAAAAATAAAAAGCTTGTGACATACCCTAAAATCCAAGCTGATATCTTCAAATGTCTCGTTTTGGCTGACCAACAGTCTGAAACGCAAATATATTCAGCTTGCAATCATAGAGAGACCTCCCCTCAACTTAAGGAGAAAAACAAACTAAAGGAGAAAAAAACTTACATAATATAATTTAAAAAGTAACCAATCAGTGGACAAAATGTAAATTAGATTTCTCCCGGATGGCATATTGCTTCTGTCCTTTATCGCTCATTAACATTTTGCATTGTCTCTGCAAAGCACCACTGGTTGTTTTTGTAAGCTCCTCTGGCCAACTTAATTGTCATTACCTTTGGATTTCTGTGGTCGTATGTCATACGACAGTGACTCGAGAGTGACGGAGGTGGAGGTTAGCTGAGGCACGTGCGACCGCTTATCAAAGGGTCCTCTGCACAGTGGCACTGTGTTATCTAGCTCTTATCTGACTCTGATGGTTAATAACCTTGAATGGCGGCGAGGAAATGCCGCAGGACTTTAAATTATGAATCGTACAAATGCAAATAGACGGGGTGGCATTGTCTGTAACAGCCTGTTTAGATGTACTTCTACCATTGTTGCCATCATGCCTCAAGTACAGTGTCGTTTTTCTGCACTTCCACTCATAAAAACAATCTTCAGTTAAGGCCATCTGTGTTTCTGAAGTGGTTCTGGGGACTCAAAGGTACTTACAGGCCCTTCAGGAAATTCTGAAACTGTAAAGTGTAGCCCTCCAGTGAAAAGTGTTGCTCTGCGTTTTGTATTTTGTTGACTTTGCACTTTTGCACATGAAAAATAGTCAGCACTTATGAGGTTGAAGTGCATGTTGGCATTGTCATTGTATGTTAGCATGCTCACGTTGGCATTTAGCTCAAAGCAATGCTGTGTCAAAGTACAGTCTCACAGAGCTGCAAGCATGGCTGAAAACTCTAGTCTTGTTTTAACTTAAGAAAGAAAGAAAGTTCCACCAGGCCGCAGGAATTATTTCTTAGTTTCAGCCACATTTTGTCCTCAGCCTTTTCCTCACCAGTGAAACACTTTCTCGGTTTGATATACCTGTAGAATAGGACTGCAACTAGCTATTTTTTTTTTGTTATCAATTAATCTAAGGATTATTTTTTAGGTTAGGTTAATCGATTAATCTTTTACTTTTACTTTTAAAATGCTCATCACAATTTCCCAAAGCCCAAAGTGTTGCCTTCAGATTGCTTCTTTTGTCCAAGACTCTTCATTTACTGTCATGAATGACAAAGAAAAACAGCAGAGTCTCACAATTAAAGCTCCAGTGTAGGATTTAGGGGCATCTAATGGCAGACATGGTATGTTATATTTATAAGGTTAAAATGAAAATAAGAATTATTGGGTTTTTGTAACCTCAGAATGAGCCATTTATATCTACATGTGGAGCAGGTCCTCTTCCGTGGGGTCCACCATGTTGTTCTACAGTGGCCCAGAACGGACAAAGCAAACACTGGCTAGTTAGGGCCTTTTGCTTTATTGTGTTTTTGCATAGTTCTCCGAAACACTTGGTGCACAGAAGAAGTTTCAGTTCTGCAATCTCACTGCTAGATGCCACTAAATCCTACACACTGGCCCTTTAAGAAGCTGGATACAGCAAAATTGTCAAAGTTAGTTGGCGATTAATTTTCTTTTGATCAATCTATCGCTCCACTGTAGGTTAGGTGATGAAACAGTCCTCTGTTTTGCCCTGTTTTTGTCTGTTTATGATCATTTTCCTGCTGAAATGTCCTAGAATTTGAGGACGATGTATTAGAAAGGTCTCAAATCCTGCACTCTATATCCAATAAGAATGAAATCAGCACTGCTATTATACTCACTAACCACACGTCATATTCAGGGATTACTGGCCCACGCTACACTATTTCAGCACGTTGTTCTCTCATGTTCTAATCTCCAGCCTGATCTTGAATAACCCCAGCTCTGTATCTGTCTCCAGGTTATGCTGCCCAAAAGCTGTCTGAGTCCCAGTGAGAAAGAGAAGGGCTAAAGCCACACCGATCCAAACCAGCTTTTCAGAGCCTCTCCAGCAGCGACTCCACTGCGGAGCCATGAGCAACCCCAGCACTCCCAACCAGATTACAGATGCCGTGGCATCGGTTATTCACAGCGTAAGTCCACACGACCACAAACAGAAAAGCCTCAGTCTGTCCTTTCAGGTCAGGCTCCAGCGCCGTCGGCCACATGATAAAACACATGAGAGTTGGTGACCCTGGTAACAAACCAGGTTAAATGCTGTTCAGGAGGAGATGACGCTCACAAGCTTAGTTTATTGTCTTTTCATGCATTGGCCTGTAGCGATTCAGCATGTAACTTTCCTCTTCTTCATTTCATATTCTCCCTGTGCTGAATTTATGCTGCATCAGCTCCCTCAGTCTTCTCTGGCATCAGAGTGTGTATTTTGGACAGTTTGTTCCTCCAAAGCTATGTGTGTACAAATCTAGTCACATCCTAGAGCCAGTACCCCGGCAGCGTACAGTACTGCTGACTGCAATAAAAAAAAGTTCAGAATAGTTCAAAACGCTGAGATCTGAACAGCGAGCTACTCCTGTTAGATTTCCCTATTCATTAGAGCGCTGGAGAATTTCAACGGCTCCACAACTGAAACAGTTTCCTTCCTCTTTTCTTGAAGTCGATGGGCTGCCAGTGTTGGAAGCACTAAACAATATTGGCATATAATGAAAAACATAATTGCATGGCTGCTGGTGGGATTGATGTGATAAACATGCTGCCCAGAGGGCAGCTGGTCAGCTGCCAAAGAAAGCTGCATTCCCAAACTCAAGAGGTTCTCAACAAGTTAATCTTAGCATGATTAAGACGCTACAGCAGAAAATATCGCAAGCTTAAAGGCAAAATCCACCCATGAATACCCTCATATTGTTAGATATCATCACTTTGCCATGGTTAGTAGATTCTAGGAATTATGTTTCATGCATCCCAGGAATTATAAGGATTGGTTCTTTTTTTATTGATTTACCCACCTTTCTCAACCTTTCTCATGTTCTCATGAGTTAAGGATTCCTAGGTGTCCTAGAACAGCTTTCAGCAGTCAAACTGAAGAGTTTACTGAGCTGTGGGTTGATGTGTAGGTGAGTGGAAAGAGTGATGTTTATAGCCCAGTGGGAGCAAAAGAGAAAAGATATACCACTCAGTAACAAGTCATAGAGGCCACTCCTGACAGACTCCTGATGAAGTTTACCCTTTATTGTACTGCTGAGAGATAATGTCTGACTGAAAGATCAGCTGTTCTTGTTCAATCTGTCCTTTGGACTCATTATTTGGCAGCACCAAAACTGCAACACCAATATAGGAAATGCTTACTTTCCCTTGGCTTTGCATTTTTTTCGCCAGTGTGCAGTCAGCTGCTTCCGTTTTCAGTGTTGCACAACTGTGTGAGCACTCTGACAACCCCTGCATCTACCTGCATGCAATCTGGGCATAAACAACATGAGTGCTGTCCAAGTTTGAAATCTAACCCCGCCAGTCCAGACGTAGAATGCAGAGCATTAAGGCAGTGGAAGTGGATATATGACACTTAACTACTGACCCATGAAAGAGGTGCAGAGAGACACAGAGGCCATGGGTTAAACTACTTCTCATATAGTCTTTTATCTTTGATGTGTTTCTAAAATTATTTCCTCAGGTTTTCTTTAATTAAAAGAGGAACAAATTATGTAATTTAGTAGTTTAGGGTTTTTTTTATTAATTCTTCTTACAATCACTTCACTGTGCACTTTCAACACAAAAGTCCACATCAGATATAAGCTACAATATGTAACATGATACACATTGCATAATTAAAAAGGAGCAGGGACAACTATAAATCTTACATTGCCTGCCCCTTTTTCAAAATAAAAGTCACATTTATGGTCTATCATCAATGGTCTGTCACTACTTTAATTTTTAAAGCACATATACACACATCAAAACACACACAAATACTAAACATTAACACTCATTAAGTATATATGGCCCATTATTTGGTCTCCATACATTTTCTTAAAATGAACAATTGATTAATAGCATTTGTAATTATTTGACAGTTTGACTCCACGCACTAAAATACATTATCTGAAGTTTATTTCATGGATTAACATTAGTTGTATGTGCATTGCCTCACAGTAACTGAAGTATGTGGGAAGTTAGACACTTTTGGAGTGCCTTAATATTATGCAGCATATACTTTGCTTTGTTTAGAATTTCCATACTGGGACATTTAAACATTTTTGTCTTTGTATCAGCTGAGGTTTCCTAGAAAGGTTATGGTCTATACGCAATATGATTTTTGGATACCCTTTAAGGCTCATTCACACTTCTTTCATGTAAGAAAATAGGTATGTTCATTTCAAACATGACCGTCACTGCCCTCATATTTCCATACCTCATTTATGTTGTCATAGATGCATATAGTAGATGGAACTAGAGGGCAGAGTAAAAAGTCTCTGTCAATAACAAACATGGCGACGGTGGAGGAGATCGTACTAATATACCCTTTAACGGAGGCAGCATTGAAGATGGTGATGGTCTGTGATGCCATTAAATACATACAGAGGACGGAGAATACTTATCACCATATTCCTGATTCGTTTGATTCCACCTTTTCAAACATCTTTGTTGTGTCCCACGGTTGTATCTCGCTTGAACTACGCGATGCTGCTTCCATGATATCTGGTGGTATTCCATTTTGTCCGTATGCATAAACTTTAAGAAAATGTCTACAAATATAGACAAAATGAATGCAGATTAGGAAAAGAAGGCTCCATCCATGGCAGTGCACGTATTTAACGTTGAGCCATTAGTTGTATGCATTGCACTAAACATTGTCCTTAACGGTTCTGTATGCAACATTCAGAGCATTAATATGGCAGCAATTTGCTGTGAAGATTTAATGAAATAATGGTGTCTTGAGCAGAGAATGACGCCACGCTCCTGCTGGGTGTCGTAATCCGAGATTATCTGTTTGTAGTTGTGGTAGACGGTCCTGCCGTGCATGCATGTTAGTGCATGGAATTCCCTGTGTGTGTATCCCACTGGCTAGCTACTTGCCACCACTCTGCACTGCGCTGATTCAGCAGTTACTACTGACATCAGGACGACCTTGTTGTCGAAGTGTATCACCCATCCTGCGGTTGCCCCCAGGTTAACACCTTTAGCTCTGTTGGCACTGTTGCTGTCTGAATTGTTAGCACTGGGCTAAGCTGCCTCCATGTTGAGAGCTGTCAGCAGACAACCTCTGAATCATAGATAGCTCTTTATGTCGTATAGAACTCCTTTAAACAAGATAAGGCCCTTTACAACTTTGGCCTCCTTGATCTCTTATTTTCTTGCAGAAGATGTTAAATGATATCCTTAAAGTTATTCTGTCAAGCCTTTTCAGTATCATGTCTTTATGGCCAATTATAAGCAGTAACACAGTTAACAGCCATAAACTTATTAAGATTATGGGATACAATATGACTTGGCTCTAATAAGACTCTCCAACATGTAGCCTGACGACCAAGAAGCTCGCTAAAGATAAAACTGTTTGCTGTATGACAGTGCCTCAGCAGTTATTGGTTGGTCTCTTGGCTCCAACTCTACCAAGTTAATTATTATCTTCTTAACAATGTGTGGTTGTGTGTGTGTGTGTGGTCAGGGTGAGTTCAGATAATCCTGTTTGGATTTTTAAGGGCTAACGTTGTGAAACTGAGTAATGTCTTCTTCCTACTGTGGAGAGCTGCCCTGGCCATGTGACAAGGGCTAACTGAAATGGGAAACAAGTTGTCTTCCATCAAAGCCGTGGACGTCTCCGGCTTTTACTTTTGACATTGGAAAAGCAAATAAAGCTATCTTGTTGTATTTTAGGCTTCAGCAACACACTTGTGTGTAATGTGATGGACTATCTGTATTCATTGAAGGTGAGTTTGTTCAGTTCGAGCATGGAGAGCTCAATGTAACGTGTTTCTTTGTGATATTTAGTCTTGCTCTTATCATTCCCAGTCAGTCATTATACATTATCCTACATTGGGTAAATAGAGACTTTCTGAGCCTATATGTGCACCGACTTTCTTCTTCTGACTTTGGCTCTTTAGGTAAATATAACCTCAACACGAACTCTGCAGCTGGTTAATGTTCAGTCTAGTTCTTGTACTTTTGAGACGCAATTTTACTTCGTCAACAGCTCATTGACTTTTCTCAAGCATTTGAAATCCAAGGTAATAATTACAACCTAATGTTATTTTAATGTGTCACTAGTTACAGATAGTCGCCTCTATAATGTCAGCAGGTGGATTACGAAAGGTTTCTTTGTAGGGGAGTAGTGTGAACAGTTTAAGTGGTTTTTCCTTAATGAACAGGGAAAACTAATATAAAGAAACCCGCTGTGCTGCTGGCTCAGTGTAAAACTGTTTGCAAAGGTTTGTTTTTGCTTCTCCTCTCTCCCAGAAATGTCAAAGGTCAGGGTCAGCTGCAGAACAGAGCAACTGGGGCTGGTAGGGATTTGGTGTCTTGCCTCAAGGCATTTCAGCAGTGTAAACAACTGCTGCATCTGTTAGATGAAAACTGTCTAGATTATTGATTTCCAACCTATTTGGATTGTGTCTCCTATATATACTATAAGTAATAGTGAGACACTTTCAGAAATGTGCATTTACTGTCTAGTTGAGAGTTAGATTAGTTTAGAAACAAGAGTGAGGTATCAGTCAGTTAACTGCAAAGTTGGAGGCTTTGCTAGGCTTAGGTTAGCCTAGCATAAAGTCTGAGGAGTTGGTACATTTCGCAGAAAGATGCTAATGTATTACTTTAAAGCAATGGTTCAACATGTTTAAAATTAGGTTGTTGTTTACTTCTTTGTGTCTTGTTAAGAGTTAGATGAGATGATTGGCACTACTCATGTCTCTCAGTTAAACATGAAGCTACAACCAGCAGTCGGATAGCTTAGCTTATCTTAGAGTAGAACTTGTACATCGGCTTTTGAACAGACTAAACCATCAAGATATAAGATAAAATGTTGGTTAGAGAACTTCAGAGGCGCCGGTAGGCAGATTTTTTTTTTACCTTTGGACTGGGCCAGGGTGGCTGTTTCCCCCTCTTTCCAATCACTAGCAACCAGTTGGCTGCTGCTGTATCTTCA